GAAGTGCCATACGAATGCGAAAAGTGGTCACTAAGGAATACTGGCGGAGGGGCACTGAGCGTGATCGAAGGAGCAGTAGACAGAAAAAGCTTAGCAATTTTCTTCGTGACTACGTAAAAAATCATTGGCGAAGTGCACCGGGCGGACCAGTGCGATCATGTGTTTTTGCTGTATTTTGTGTTTTTGCTGTCGTTCTCGCGGAAACCGAGTAGCTAAGATTTGTGACATACTGCTTTAGAAGTTCGGGAAGTTAATTTTTACGCTGTACTTGGACAGGGAACATTCCATTAAAATTTCAGCTTTCAAACTTCTCTGGTTCTTGAGTTAGCAATTTCTCTGCCAAGAAATTTCAGGGGTCCGTACATGAGAACCACACGTATTTGGGAGCTGAATTTGATATCTTTAACTTTTACAAGGGCTGGGAGCATACCCTTAAAATTCCAGCCTCCAGTTTTCCTATTTCCTGAGTTAGCCGTTTTTCCGCCAAAAAATGTCACGGGGCCATACATAAGAAACCACGCATGCCTGGGGCCTGAATTCGGTAAATTTATGTTGTGCGTTTGCTGGGAGCAGTCGCTGATAATTTCAGCCCCCAGCTTTCCTATTACCCGAGTTAGCCATTTTCCTGCCAAAAAATTTTTTGGGGCGTACGTGACAACCACGCATGCCTGTGGGCTAAGTCTGTTAAATTAATGTTGTATACGTGTTGGAAACAATCCCTGAAAATTTCAGCCTTCTAGCTTTCCTGGCTACCGAGCTAACCATTTTCCCACTAAAAAATTTCACAAGGCTGTACGTGAGAACCATGCATGCCTGGGAGTTGAGTTCGATGATTTTAACTTGTACATGTGCTGGGAACATTCCCTGAAAATTTCAGCCTCCTAGCTTTCCTGGTTCCCCAGTTGGGGATTTTTTGCGCCAGAAACCCTCACGGGGTCATACGTGGGTGCTACGCACACCTGCGGACTGAATTTGAAATTTTTGAGTTCTATGTGGACGGGGAACGTAACCTCAAAATTTCAGCCTTTTGGCTTTCCTAGTTTTCAAGTTAGCGACTTTCCCGCCAATCTTACCCTTTCTTGCACAGGGCTCAGACTTGCGTGAGGGTTGGTACCTCGATCCTGGGGTGGCACTTGGTCGGGGAACCCACTGGCAAAATTTTGGTGCCGGAGCTTGCTTGGGTGGCGAGTTGAAATATCCGGACAGACTCACACACACACACACATACACGCACACACACACGCACACACACACATGGGAGACATCACAATATGCGTTTTTGCATTTGTACATAAGCAATAAAAACGCACAGTCAGACTTTCCGTCAAGTAAATGGTATACAGGATGTCACTGTGATAGTGCGGAAAAATAAAATTCGTTGTGCAGGGCATGTTGCTAACTGCTGGAGTTGTGCATTAGCGAGTGGCAACCACGAAGACGTAGATGACCACTCGAGCGACGTCCGAAAGTGCTCAAACATCGTACGGGCAGCCGGTAACAACTGAGCGTAGACATCCTAGATTAAATGGCCCAACATAAAAGCGCCCGATGTGTAGTGGGGTCCCAGTCACATTAGTAAAATGAAATAGCCAAGCTGGTTGCTGCTCATAATCTATCTCTTCTTTTTTTAGTTTCTCTTGCAAAAAAAAAAAAA